AAAAAANAAAAAAAAAAAAGGAAATAACAAAGCTTTGCTGCTATTATGCAGGTTCAGCCCCCGTGTTGAGCCCCCTGTGAAGGGGGGTTTGTATAGACAGCCCCGGCATCCAACTCTCCATGCTCTCCAGGTATTCCCGCCCAAAAAAACGAAAGCCTTTCGTCGTCGCATCTCCCGAGGTATAAATAAGAGGCCAAGGCACCCCCAAAAAAAAGAGGTAAGAGGCAAGTATATAAGGAAGAAGAGGAAGAAAAAGAAGAAAAGGAGGAGATGATGGAAAGGAAAACGGGTCATGACGCGTATCGATTTGTAGAGATAAGAGATGAGATGGTATCCCCACAAAAGAAAAGAAAATGTTTAGGGTATTGTTGTTTTCATGGTGTCGCCTGACGTATTGTGCCTACCCCCTCCCTCTTGGGGCACCACAGAGTAGACAGAACGACATGGGTCAGATCAGATCATGTTTGCCAGGTCGTCCAGCGCGTTGTGCAGGTTCGTGGGCCTGGGCTGCGGGTGCTGCGGGGGCGCCTGGGCGACCTGGATGTGCATCTGCGGGTGGGCGGGCGGGGGCGCGTGCATGGGCTGGCTGGTCGGGTGCAGGTGGTGGCGCGGCGTGGGCGGCTGCATCATGGCGGCGGCCTGGTCCTGCGGGTGTATGGGCGACGACATGGGCGCCACCATATTGTTGTGCTGGTGGTGGTGGTGGTGCTGGGGCGTCTGCATCTGCTGCTGCTGCTGCTGGGGCGTCTGGAACTGCTGCATCTGCTGGTGGGAGAGATGGGGCATGGCCGGCACCGTCGGCGTGTTGACCATGGACACGGTCACCGACCCGGGCGTCATCTGGGGCGTTATGGGCGCCTGGGGCTCCGTCTTGGGCTTGGCCATGTTGGACGCGGCCAGGCGGGTGTGGCTGCTTTCCCGCCTCCGCTTGGGGGCGTCCTTGATCTTGGGGTGCGTATGGCACTATATTTGCGTTTAAAAAGTCAGCGGTCGCGCATAAAAACTCGGGGGGTCATGACCACCACACCAGTCATGGCCGCCAACTCCCATCGACGACGTCGACGTACCTTGTATGCGTGCCTGAACCAGGTCGTGCCCTTCTTTTTGCTGCTGACGAGCGCGATCCAGTCGTTGCAGCTCCCGCACAGCCCCTCCCACACGTCCGGGTTGCCGTCCATCCGCCTCGTCTCCTGAGGCTCCTGGAAGGGGCTGCCCGTGGCGGCGCTGATGCCGTGCGTGAAGCTCTTGTCGTACCAAAATGCCGAGTTCTTCAGGACGAGCCACCTGCCGGGCTTGCAGATGCCGCACCAGCCCTCCCTCTTGTTGCCGTGCCCGCGCACCCACCTGGGCGTGTACAGGTCGCCGTCGAACCTCAGCTCCTGCTCGTGGGGGATTAGGTCGGGATCGGACGGGTTCATGTCCTCGGGGGGCGGCGGGATCTGCTCCTCGTGCAGCGAGGCGTACAGGTCCGGCGGGTCCGACAGGTCATGGTAGTGGCCGTGGAGGGAGTGGGGGTCGGCGTTGCTCTGCAGCATTCGGAAGAGCCCGTGCGACATGAGCGGCGGCGGGTTGTCGAACTGGTGGTGAGGGTCGTGGTGGAAGGCGTTGGACGGCAGCTGCGACGGCAGGAGCATGCTGTGCCTCGGGAACGCGGGGTTCGGGGGCATGAAGAAGGGCGGTGGCGGCTGCTGCTGCATCGACTGCAGGTTGCCCATGTTGAGCGGCACCTGGGTGTGCGCAATCGTCGGCGATGAGTGTCGGGACGACATGCGGGGCCCGTATGCGTCGTGGGGGTGGTGGTAGACGAAGGGGGATGGCCTCCGGTTGGGCGTGGTGCCGTACGAGCCCGTCGACCACCTCTTGTTCTGCCCACGCTCGACGCTGTACGGTGCCGAGCGCATGCCGGGCCTGGGCGAAGGCGATGCCCTCCCTCGGCTCTGCGTCCTCACCAGCTCCGATCGGCTCTGTGGTGTCATCCGCGGGGACGCGACTGGTGAAAGCTGGGTCGACGACATTAAGGAGTTCCTGTTGGACGGCGGAGGATAGTCGGAAGTGAAGGATGGGGCGTCCGACATGGCCGCCGAGAAGTCCTCGTACGAAGTCATCTCCGAGATTCCCGTGGTCGACATGGTAAAAGATGAGCCCGACATCCTTCGCGCGTTCATGGCGTGGTCGAAGCTCATCGAGTCTCCCTCCATGTGGGAGTTGGGGTAGCGGAGGTCCAGGATCGGTATCGCCTCGTCTGCTGTGTAAGCCTGGCCGATCATGTCGCCCTCTATCCCCTGGATGTCCATGTTTTCATCCCCACACGGCTTTTGCACCCAAGAGTCTGGTCCGAGCTGTCAGTCGTGGTCTCAAACAAGCACGAAGCCTCCCAAGGGGGAGCCCAAGGGGAGCCCAAGGGGGAGGGCGCCAAGACAGGCATAGAAAATGCTAGAGACTTACTGGCCTCCATGGTTGTGGGAGGATAGAAGTCCTGGTGGACAGAGATGGGCCTGGACGAGATGTCGCTCGGGGTCTGCTGCAGCGGCAACGTCGACGAATCCCAAGCCGGGAGGCCATCGTATCCCTCTCCCATGCAGTACGAGAAGCCCTCGTGGATGGTTGCGGGCCGTGGGCGCATACCCTGGGATACTGGCGTCGACCAGACTCCCTGTGGCTGGCTCATGGGCTCCGTCTTGGGCATCTCGCTTCCACTCATGCTGGCGGTGGTCGGTGGTCTGGGGGTAGAAGAGTCTCCTCTGAGCCTGCTGTCTGTTGAGACGGCGCTGGCTGGAATGAAGGAATGGTCGGGTATCTGTTGGCCTCTGTGGGACGAGATATTATATGTGAGTTGAGATGCCTCAAAAGGAAGTGTCTTGCCGACGACGGTCGATGATCACTCCGGTTGCGGTTGGTGTAGTGTTAGTGGGAGTTGGGACGGCATACAGCTGTGCCTGACCTGAGTCCATGGCATACAGGTCTCTTTACAAGGGAGTGTGCAGTTAATCTATTATGTGCCTGAAGCTGAACCCGCAGCTGGCTGTTAGCATAAAGCCCAGAGACGGAAAAGGCGACCTAACATGGCGGGCCAGCGAGAGCAGGATGGGCGGCTCTACAGGGGCATGTTGCATCGGCGGACACGCGGGCGAGGGGGGGGTGGTTCAAGAGCCCGTCAGGCCATCTTGGGGGACGTACCTGGGGTGCGCGGCGGACGCAGAGGCCAGCAAAAAAGTGCCGCCCCAAAAAAATCTGCTCCCTGGGAGGGGGAGGCCGCGAGTCGAGTAAGTGGCGAGCCGGGATGTGACACCGAGGGGTGAGTATCAGGTGGTAAGGACTGCGCTAGTTGCTCCGGTCGTGGCTAGTAGGCTGGGTGGCTCCCTCTCGTTCTCGGGACCGGCTGTGAAAGATGCGTGATGTTTTTCTTTTTGCGTTGGGCTGAGCGGCTCTACTGCGAGTCTGGTCTGGTATATGGCGTAGTGTGGCTGGCCTGGTGTTATATAATGATTGTAATGCCCTCGCGTCCAAGAGAGAGTGTGGTCCGGCTTCGTCGACGTATTATGAAAGTCGTGTTCGGTAGAGCGTGAGAGCGGCGATCGTGTTGGTGATGGATGGCAGCAGTGATACGCTTGTTGGAAGTATGTGAGAGAAGGAGCGTGGTTGAGCCGTGGCGAGGGGAGTCGGGGCTCGGTAGATAATCGCACTGGCGGCTGGCGGCCGGGAAGGGAAAGAGAGCCAGCTCTTGGTGTAATATAGACCAGCAGATGGGTTATCGGCGGGGCAGGGAGAGGGGGTGTCTGAGAAACAAGGAGAGACAGAGAGGGTTACCGCTGCAAATTCTAAAGCTAGGGGTGGAAAAAAAAAAAAAAGGAAGTGACTAGTAAATTGAAGATGGTACTGGCCGGTGAGCGGGACGGATGCGAAAGGGGAAGCAAGACAAAGCCAGCTGGAAGAGGGGCGGTGCAGGAGACCGGGAGGTATAAGAGAAGGAGGGTGGACCGATGAGGCATCACCCATGGAGGAGGCGAGCAGCACAGCACGGTCTTGCCCGGAACGCCGGTAGGAGTCCAGCCGGATTCCCTGATACAAGCATGGCCGGTGCTGGTGGACTGGAGAGGAGGTGGGTGTGGGTGAAAGTCCTTGGCCTGCGACGGGGGTGTTGATGGGGGTAGGGATTCGCCGTACAGGGCCGACAGGGTTGCATCTGGCTGTGGGATGACGGGGTGCAGGGGACGACTGAGGTGCCGCTGGACCAGGGACGGACCCAGAGTCCCAGACGCGGCTGCTTTTGGAAGGAGAGGAGACAAGGATAAAACAGGTCTGACAGGCTGCCCACAGACCCCAGAGATCTCACTCGAGCTCAGCCATGGCCAGGGCCCGGACTAGGGCGCTCACGTATTCGGCACAGGCGAGGAGACGGATAGAGCTCAGAAGGGAATAAAAAGGAGGTAGCAAAAAAGACTAGCCATGAGATGAGAGCCATTCACACGTGGAGGTCGCACGGATGCAGCCAACGACAAGGATAAAAAAAAACCCCTCCCGAACTTGAGAAGGTGATGAAAAGGGTTAAGGAGGGCATTCCTTTTTTTTTTTTTTTTTTCCTAGAAAGCAAATACCGAGTGAGCGCAGCCACTCATTGTCGTCCGATGGCCAGGGAGACAGACTAAAGACGATGAGAAGAGAGGACCCGCCTCGATCGCATCAGACCAACCAGCCAGCCCTTTTTTTTTTTTTGCCTTTTTGGATAGGGTGGCCAGTCGCGAAACGAAGGAGGCTCTCTGCAGCTGAAGCTGAAGCTGCCAGCAGCAGCAGCAACCACCACCACCCATCCCCATGCCCGCTCCATTGCGAGGAGAGCCAGTCGCCATCGGCAGGGGTCGTCGTGCTCTCGGGCTTGCGGTGGGAGCAGCCGAGGAGGCACATGGAAATGCCGAGTTTGGCGCAGGCGGGTTCGTCGCCGTCCCTACGACTTGTAGCAGGCGGTGGCTTGTCTCACCCGGGGAGCTTGCTGGGCTGGGGCTGGGCGAGGGCGCTGGACCTTGGCCTGACGAGCAGGGCAGCAACAAGAAGGTCGAGGCACCGCCGCACCAGCAGGGTCGAGCAGGGTTGGCGACGAGGAGACCGAAAATGGCGAGGGCCACATCCCTCCCTTGGCCGTGTTCGGCCGTGCTGGGGTTCTCGGGCGAGGGTCATGTGGAGACTGGCTGGGTCCCAGAGTTACCCCCAATCCCCACCACTGTCTCGTCCTGCGGAACATCCGACGGACGACAGAAAAAGAGAGAAAAAAATGAAAACACAAAATGGAGCCGACTACGCCCAGATGGGGGTCGACCTGCCCTCGCAAGATGCGCTGCAAATCCTTCCAAAGGTTATTTGCCGGACACGGAAACAGACCGACGCCAGAAACAGTGGGGTTTTTGCACAAACTCCCTGGCTGTTCGTTTTGTCACCAAAAAAAAAAAAAAAAAAAAAAAAAAAGCCCCTGGTGGAAGAGCCGGTCCGACATTTACCTTGGTTGACATGGCGTCACGTTTCCCTCCTCGATAAGAAGTTGAGCTGTGACTGGCGACAAACGGAAAATAAAAGGGGGAAGAAGGCGGAGGGAGAAACAAAATTGATCCATGCGGGCGGCCTCCGCCCAACCAACATTCACGGCGCGGTTCTTGATATTACAGGTCTAGGCTTCGCCGGCTATGTCTGCACGTTCTCGCGAGTGTGTGTGCCACCTGCATCCAAGCGTGTGAGTGAGTGAGTGAGTGAGCGAGTGTGTGTGTGTGTGTGTGTGTGTGTGTGTGTGTGTGTGCGTTTGTGCGCGCGCGTATTCGCCCCCCTCCTCGGCGCAAAAGCAGGGGGCAACCCCGTCGAGATTTTCTTTTCTGCTGCGGCGGATTCTCCACAGGATGAACACGTCAAGCGCGGGTGATCAAGGCGCAGCCCTGTTCCGAATGTCTTGGGATCCGAGATCCATCCATCCCGATATGGAAAGCCCGTCGTCGTGCTCGCTTGGCTCCCTTTTTTTTTTTTTTTTTTTTTTTTTTTTTGGCCTCATGTCTTTTAAGCATTCACACACAGACATGTCAAGTCCCGAATGCAACGCGCGCGCGCGCAAGGCGGACGCAGCTGTTGTCAACGATGCCTGCTATCATCCGTCATCTGATCATCGTAGCGACGTCGAGGTGGAGGAGAGACAAAGTCGGCTCATACGACACGCGCAGGGCGGGCCCCGGCTCTCTATCGCAAACCTCCTCCCCCCGCGCGCCGCGAGGTCCTTACAAATTCGGTCTGAATTTACCCGGCCGAGGTGGGAAGAACCAACCAGTATTGGAGGCTCGTTCCAGGCCGACGACTGGATGACAGGCCGGCCGGCGTTGGCAGTGTGCGTGCGTGTGGCGGCCGAAGCTGGGGGCCTGTCGAGTATTCGATTCGTCCGCCCTTGTCTTGCTTTTCCTTCCCATCCTCCTCCCCCTGCACAGCGCGCGGGTCGACTGGCTCTCCGCACAAGCTGTCCCACCAACGGCAGCTGCAGCTGGGGGCAGCAGGGCAGTTGAGTTGTGCAGCGGACAGATGAAGGGGGGGGCAGACTAGAGAGGGTATATGGAAGGGATAAAAAGGGCATATACCTACCTACTCACTGCCTACCACCGACCTAGGGCCGTGGTGTTGTTGAGCGGCGTGGTTTGGATGGCCTGTCGTTGAAAAAGAAAAGCGGGTTTCGTTTGAGGTCAACTTTTAGCTCTCGGCCGTGGCGGCTCTGATTGGGCAGTGCCGGGCGACGACGCAGGGGGTTCCTGCCAGTGCAACCCTCCCATTCGGCTGGCAGCACCTGCAGAGCGAGCTGCAGCTCTGCGGAGGTGGGGGAGAGAGGAAGGCAGAGGGCCCTCCGTCGCGTCCCTCGTTCTCGTTCGCGCAACTGGTTGGTCCGACGAGGCCCGGGGCGAGTGGAGGCGGGAAAGGGCGAGCCCACCAAGAGGGCTGCTGCAGCCCATCATGGTTTGGCCCAAGGGGGTGTACATACAGGCAGGGGTGGGCTGACAGGGCCCTCCGTTCCGTCTCAGATCTGTTACAGAAGGGCCCGCCATCCCTGTCGGGCCACAGGCCCTGCCGTCACCACGTCAATACGCAGCAGCATGCCGCCCTAGCTAACCGTCCGCCCGACCTTCTCGCTCCGACCCTCGCTCGCTACGCTACAACGCCTTGGCCTGGACGGGCCACAGGCGCCATCAGGTGACACCCGCGCTGCCCACGCCCGGCCGCCCCAGCCCAGGCAGGCGAAGGAAACCATAAAAAGCCCCGTCGCCAAACCCCGCGCCCACACGTGCCACGACGGTGGCCCACCGCCGCCCAAGAACTGATGTCGCGATGGGGAGGAGCTTGGTTTCTCTCGGCTGCGACGTCTGGCCAACGGACAGCGTGAGCCTTGTTGATATTTGACGGTCGCCACGGTCCAGCATCTACCTAGCAACCGGCGGTCTGTCTGGGCTGGGTGGTATCCGGATTCTCCTGCCTGGGTGGTATCGGTGTCCAGCCTGGGTGCGGAGACGGCATCTGGTTTTGTCCCTTCTCAGCCCTTCCCCCGACGTCGCAGGCTGGCCCTAACCACGCAAAGAGAAAGAGAAGAGAGAGGGAAAGAAAAAGAGGGGCGGTGTCAACTCTTCTTTTTGTCACGGATTCACAACGTCTGTTTTCTGCACCCTAGTCGCCGCCAACATTGGGACGGTTCAACGGGCGGTTGTTTAAACCCTGTGCCACACAATCTCGAGTCTCGAACCACCCGGGCAGCCCAACCAACTCCTGAGCCGCTCCTGATTGCCCTTCAGTTGCGTATGGGGTCAGGTTGTTTCCCGCTGGTCGCGCGCGAGCCACATGCTCGCCCCAACAAACCCATGGCGTCCTGATCTCCTGTCCTTTTCCCACTTGGCTTTGTTTGACGGGCCCAGCGATCCACCGGATTGTTTTGTAATTCCTCTGCAACTCGCTGGCCTCGTCGCCGCCTTGGACGCAATCACGTTGCTGGCGTCAGCGACAAGGAAAGAAAAAAAAGTTGTTTGCCCCGCAACCAAAACGTCAGGAGGCTGTCGATCCAGGTTTTGCGAGTTTCCGACTCCAGCCCGCCTTGCCTACAACGGCGACACTAGCGAGGGTTCGACATTCCAAAAACAATGGATGACGCGGCTGCTAAAACTGCCAAAACTGTATGTTGGCTGACGGCTGGAACAGTGTGCCCCATCCATGCTGAAAACCACACCATCAAAACGTATGAAAATGAAAAGAAGCACACGGGGGAAAAAAAGAAGAAGAAAAAAGAGGGCAGCCAGTGCCTGATGCAACGTAGTCGACACACAGACGCCTGGGAACGTTTTTCTTTTTTTGGTCCACATTGCAGCTCAAAAGCTGGCGGGCGGCAGAGAAGAACCGGCTGCGCTTTGATGATTCAGCCCAGTTCTGCTCGCAGCAGAGACCCCGGTTGGTCAAGGACACGACGCTCGGATAGAAATAGGTACACAAAAATATACACACAGGTCCGAAAAAGCCAACTAGAAGCGCCATTTTCCAACCATGTCTTGTCTTTTCATATCATTTCCAACTCTGCCTTCTTGCACGACTCGTGTTTTTCCTATCACTATATTTCTCTGTATTGCCGCAGTCAATGATTCTACGCATGAGGACGTCGGACCTTTATTTGCGGAACGTGCTAGACTAGGGCGATAGGTTACCGGCTGCCGGGACACAGCTTCATTACCTGCATCCCGTCTCCCTGCAGTCAGTCCGTCAGTCAGTCGCGCCTTGCATGTGGCGTCTCTGCATCCCGCATCCGGTTCTTTGCGTTAGCTGTCCTTTCCGAGACCCGTCGTGCCTAGGCACTAGGTAGCCACCTAGGCTACGCGTCTCTCCCCCTCCTCTTCCTTGGCAAAATGGGGAGCCGGCCGGGCTTCGTTGGTGAGGCCATCCCATCTAAATCCCTGCCCGATATCTGCGCCAGGTTAATGCCTGGGTCCCGGGCGGCAACGTCCTCGGGCCAGCCAGTCACAGACACAGACACGCTCGTGATCCGAGTGCAGCAAGCTGGCGCTGCGCTGCGCTTGATGGTCCATATTAATTCTCATCTTATATCCCCCCCATGTACCTCCCACGGACGCACGTTAATTATTGCCGTAATGCGATGCTCTTTGCCAACAAAGGTTTTTCCGGGGCCCGCGCTTGCGCTAGCCAGCCACGCCAGCCTCACCGTTGAACGAACCGATCGGGCTTGGGACCGCCCACTGGGCCGCAAGACGACTGATGCAAAAGTGGGCCGAGGTCTTTTTTCTTCTGCTTGCCTGTGCTGCGCCTGAAGTCGATCCCTTGCCTGGTGGCTTGCAAAAGCCTCCTTGGTGCTCGGCCGTACAGTAGTAGTAGTGATCGCCAGCAGCGCATGGATCGTTGACGACATTACGGACGGGTGGCGAAGGGCCTGCCTGCTAGACCAGGGGAGGGGCATTGCGAATTCGCGAATAGGGAGGGACATGCATTTTTCTTGGAGAGGTGTCCAACGCGCTCCAGCTCACCTGCAGAACATCAGAACACCAAGAGGCGCAGGGGGTTTGTCGGTGCCTGTTCGGTACCTGCGTCCATCTCAAGAGAATCGACGGCTTTCGCGGCGCACAAGTCTGGCTGGCTGTGGGCTGCCCGGGCACAAGGGTGTTGTCCTCCCACCCCTTGCTCACAGCAAATCGAGATGGTCCAGCTTGCTGTGGCTCGATTAGACAAACGTCAGTTAGCAGCCTAGAGACAAGACCCCACCATCCCATGGAGATCTCGACTCTTTCCCTCTTCGTTTTTTTTTTTTTTTTTTTTGGGTGCACTCGACCTCGTCCCGTCTCGATCTCTCGGTTCTATCTTTAGAGTTGTAGCGTACGCGGTTTTGAAAACACCTCGTCTCGTTTCTCCTCCCGTTTCCTGTCCCTGTCCCAAGGGGGGTGGGACTACCACGTCTCACTACCAGTGTGGGATTGGCTGCAACCCAACCGACGCACACCTCTTCCTTCACCCTTCTTCACCTGTGACGGGAATAAAAGAAAAAGGAGAAAACAAAAAGAGACCCCAAAAAAAAAACGGAGAATGCCCACCGTTGCGGGGCCCTTCTCCCCCGCGGATATGCGACTCATGTTGGGTTGCGGCGTTCACGAGCAAACGGCGACCTCGAACTTGGAAGCTTTTGTCCAGGTCGATTGGCCTCTGCGCCCACGCCATCGCCTCGCAGCTACTGCATGCAGACATCCCCCTCATCCTATCCGGTAATCCCCTTTCCCACCTCTCCATGCCCCCGAACGACCCGTCTTGGGAAGGTTGCAGTGATGGATGGTCGGGGAGAGGCTCAGCCTGCCAGACCGGGGCGCTCAAGCAGGCAAAAAACCACAAGGACCAAAAAAATGTTGAAGTGCTTCTACGCGCGTTCCACGACTTGTTCTGTGGGGCTCGCCGCCGCTTCCTCCTTGTCCGGACATCCCGTGACAAGGAAGCAGGGCGTTTCGGACGCATTACAACGCTCGCCGTTTTGGGAAATTGTCGCTGCTCCGCTGGCCGCACCGCCGAATGAGGAGTTGGAGGAGGAGGAGGAGCCATCGTGTGTGGTTGGCTGCCCTGCCTTGTGTCTGCCCCGGCCGCCGCGCCTTTGCGTCCCCAGTCGATGACGCGACAAATCCCCCATAGGCAGGTGTTGGAGAGGGAGGCGGAGCCGACAGGGCATGGGCCAGAGGTAGGATCCGGCATACACACACACACACACACACACACACACACACGCGAGCACACACGTTGACATCGGGGAGAGAAGGCAGCCGCTATCGCCTTCACCCTCCCCGATGGCGGCGCGGCTCCATCTTGGGATCGAATCGTAAACTCCTCCCACAGGTTCCTGAACCGGATATGCCGCCCAGCTCCCCTCTGGAGGAGGCGCCATTTCGTAATAGGCAAGTCGAAAGAGCAACCCCCCGGCTGCCTTGCTCGTATCTTGTTCTTTGGGCTTCTAGCGGCCGACTTGGCCAGCCCTCCCGGTGGAGATGGCATCATGCTTGCGCTTGCCTCGCCCCTGTTTCTATTGCGTTTTTTTTCTTCTTGTTTCCCGGGTTAATCTCCTTGAATCTTGGATCGGCGGTTCCGACTCTGGGGGAAGCGCGCTTGCGAAGACGAAAAAAGCCCGACAAACTGTTTGGTTTCTCGGGAGGATTTACCCCCCTACAACCATCTCCCTATTTTCCGGTCCATGTCTAGGCGAGCCCACAAACGAAACCTCCAGCGTAGGATTGTTGATGCGTCGAGGCGCCGTTTATTTGTTAATGATTTTTTTTTTTTGTCATTTATCGCTTTTCTCACTTTCTCCCCATTGGAAGCCTAGGGTCTTATCAGCGTGTTTGATGTCGTAGCTCAGCCCAGTCTCCCTTCCACATTCATTGGCTCAAGGGGCACAGCCAACCAAATTCCAGATGCCGCACAGTGGTGTATTCGCCCACTCGCCTCCTGAGGCTCACCTTCTGGGAAACAAAGGGGCTGACGGGAGCTGGAGGAGTCGGCCCATCGAACCGTGGGGCTGAGCTTGGGCAAGCTGGGCTCTTTTGAAATGACATTGCAACCCTGATGGCGACATCGTGGCCATTTCCGTCATGCGGCTCCCTGAGCTCGACCTCACGCATTTGCCACTCCCCCAAGCCTAGACTTGCCGTATGCCGAGTCTCCTGTGCGCGCTCCCCTTTGATTTCCGTTCTCGTCCCGCGCGGGCAAGTCAGCCCCCTCGTCGGCTACCACCTACTGCTTGTTGATCCTCTTCCAAACTTCCGACTCGGCTGCAGAGAGCTTGCTGCCGGCGGCCTGCATGTACTTCTTTGCCGAGTCCCACACCCCCTCGCCCTGGTCGTCGTCGCTTGGGTCGGCCGTGCCGGCCCCGTAGGCTTGGTACTGACCCGCGTAGGGAGATGAGATGGCATTGTTGGGGTTCGGGTAAATGCCCGTGCCCGTGCCCGCGGCTCCGCTGCTGCCCGGCAGTTGCGTGACGCCAGTATTTCCCCTTCCAGGCAGTGGCCCAGTGGCGGTCGCGGTGCCGCCGTAGTGAAGAGGGGCTACCGGGCTGGGGATGGATACTTGCGGTGGCGGCGGCGGGTATTGCGGGGCAGCAGCCGGCTCCGGCGGCGCCGGTGGTTGGTACGCCTCGCCGGCCCTGGGGGGAGGCGGCACTGCTCCCGGCTGTGCCGGCGGTGGTCCAGCTAGTCCTGTGAGGGAGCCCGTGGGGGCTGGGACGGACGGCACCGCGCCCGGCTGCGCTGGCGGGTACTGGGAGGTGCGGGTGGGCTGGCCGCTGGCCGCTGCCGTCGTCGTCGCGGGCGGCGCCTGGGCTGCAGGCTGCTTCTCAGCCTCACTAGAGGCAGTCTGCGGTGTGACCCCGGACGCCTTGTTGGCGTTTATGGGGCTCTTTGTGTATATGGGGATCGGCGGCATGGTGTCCTGGACGATGATGCTTATGCGGTCTATTTCGAGGCGGCTAGGCCTGATTGTGATGATCTGCGAGAGGGGAGGGCGAATGTTTCAACTCGAGAGAAACCCGGGTACGGCTGTAGTGTTTTAGGGGTGCCTTCTTGGCGCAATCCTTCGGCTCGTATGTGGGAGAGAGGACACATAGGTGCCACGATGTGAGGTATGGTGAGCGTGTTCGCTTGTGAGAAAGTCCGTGGTTGCCTCGTCAGGCCGCGCATACGTCATCGGTAAGCTTTGCGTGTCCGTCAGGTGACCCCGCGTGTAAGGGTGGGCGAGATTGACCCATGGCTTTCTTTGTCTGAACGCACTCGCTTCGGCTTCGGCCCTTTCAGCCTCCAGACGCCGTACCTGTATGTACGGAATCCGCGCAGACGCATCAATGCCTTTGATGGGGGTTCGGCCCGGACTCCGATGTCGAGCACGTAGCTTTGCCTGGTGTTCTCAGCCACGACATGCAACTGAATGACACATCCGTGTTCGCTTCCCTCCCGTCATGCTTTCGACAGGATCAGCACCACCTCCATCTCGTCTATGCTTTGGTCGCTGATGGCTCTCGTTCAGCATTACATTGCCTCGCCGTCAATAAAGTCGTCTATGCGCAATATTTGCACTCAACACCGGCACTTACACACGCACAAAACAGACAGCCGCTCGCCGGAAACACTCGGGCGCTATCACTCAGCAGGGCGATAGCTGCATCGCCTATCCGTTTCTGGTATAGAGAAAACTGACAGAAGTCTGGCTTAGAAAGATGTGTGTGCAACCTTGGACCATCGTTCGCCATGTACATGCACTTCTGCCGACAATGTGACCAGACCATCAAGTATTATGGTACTCATGCACCCACGCGGTCTGTATCCGATACTTGTTCAGTTTGTAACCCCCAGATGGCGCCAATGACATCAACTGCCTGGGATGTTTATGGGCATCTCGGTAGGTATTTATGGTCTTGGAATAAGTTGCCTACTATCCGGGTTGCAGTATTTTTGGTGCAACCTTATTTAGCAGAAACCAGGGCAACGGTAGGTTGATTCCAGCCAAAGATCCTTTCCGCGGCGTAGGGTTAGGTGATTCGAGTCGGTAAAACCGCCCGCGATGGCGGCACGCATTAGATGACGCCGCTGGGCTGAGACCTCGTGTAAATCGTCGAGTGATGAAATGGCCATGAGAAAGGAACCGATTGCTGTTTTTGTGTCATTTGTCGTGTAGCCAATCTCATCCGAGCTTCCCCCGCTGCTCGATACGGAGATACAGTCTTGCTTTTGATCCAGTCCTGCTGGATTGTCTCCGTGCGAGCTTTTGTGATTGAGCTGTCGATATATGACATGAATAATAGCTACAAGCGCCTTCCCTTTAACAAATGCTTCCTGTCGGTGTGGGACATCGAGTCTTTGATTTCCAACAACCAACACAGAATATCAGCTCAAGCAAGTAGCGCCTAGAATAGTGAGGTGAAGCCCTCGGACGTGCCTTACGGGTCGTTCAATCTCGTCTCCAGCTCTTACATGTCTCTGTCTAGGCAGGTGTAAATACCCATTTATATAAAGCTTTATCGCGGGAACGTTTTCTGCTTGGGTTCATTGTGGTCGAGTACAGTCTGTTAGAGCTCTTCTCCACGAAGGCTGAGACCCACAACCCGCTGGCTGGCGGGGCCTCAAACCGCGAGCTAGAACGAATAGGGACTAAACTGGAGATGATTTCCGCGGCATACAGGGTCCATTATTTTGTCCAGCTCCTCTCAAGCTGTGCGACGACGGAAGCAGAACATAGTTGAGTTGAGTGCAATTGAGCGGAGTTGGAGCCTCAAAATTGCCCACCACGCGACAAACTCCGCTTCCCATTCTCGAACCAAACCCAGACGCCCATGCAACAAACCCATCGCCCTGCCCATCCACTGCATCCGCTAGCCGCCACTTGACCGCGAGACAGCATCGTCACGGAGCTGTCAAGATGGTTGGCAAAGTCAGCGAGCGCGTCCTCCTTCGGGAAGGTAAGTTGTCGCGCAAGCCGCGCCGTGCTGCTCCTTTGTCGCTCCAGCTCGTTCCTTGGCTGACGAGCATCCTTCACAGGACTGGAGCGCACCGACAATGGCATGAAGCAGTCGAGCTGGCCCGACGTCCCGCAAATCAACCAAAAAAACTACTACACGTACGCCGCCTCCGCCTCCGCCGCCGCCGTTTCCAAACCGTTTCGCTGCTGACAGCCTGGAAGAGAGTACATGAAGCGCGATGACCAGGTCCTGGCCCTCCGTCTCCAGGGCGATGCGACGCGCGATAGGCTCGTGCAGAACGCAAAGGATCGCGATCGCGCCCTCAACCAACATGGCGACCTCCCGCTGCCCGTGCCCGACATGCAGGCCGACGACGGCCCCGCCCCGACTCCAGCCGCTCTCGACCCATCCAAGATCATCGTCATCCACCCCGGCAGCCAGAACCTGCGCATCGGTTTTGCCAGCGACGCCCTGCCCAAGACGGTCCCCATGGTGGTCGCCACAAAGTGGCCCCAGACTGAGGATGAGGAGCACGAGGCGCTGCCTCGCCGCCAGTTCGAGGCCTCGACCCAGGAGCAGATGTACGGCGAGGAGTGGTCCAAGAAGTACCTGAAGATCAGTAACGACCTCAAGGTCGACATGCGCGCAAACAAGCGCAAGGTCCTGCCCAACTCCAAGGAGCTTGTCCAGAACTTCAACCGCCGCACCAAGGCCGAGACGATCAAGAAACACAACGACCCCATCGAGGTCGAGTGGACCGACGTGAACTCGGGCGAGGACCCATCATCTGTCGCATCCTGCTTTATTGGACAGCAAGCACAGTTGATTCCCAACGACTCGGCACCCAAGTTCAAGCTCTGGTGGCCGATACAGTCAGGATGGCTGAACGAGGACGAGTACACGTCGGCCGAGCGGCTCTACGACGACTTCGAGACCATCCTGGACAGGGCTATCCGCCAGGAGCTAGGGCTGACGCGCAACAGCACATGGCCGCAGTACTCGTGCGTCTTTGTCATCCCAGATCTCTACGACAAGAAGTACGTCGAGGCGGCGTTGCGGTCGTGCATGAAGTGGTTCGAGTTCAACAAGGTGTGCTTCATCCAGGAGAGCATGGCGGCCACCTTTGGCGCCGGCTACACCCAGGCCTGCGTCGTCGATGTGGGCGCGCAGAAGACGTCCATTACGTGCGTCGAGGACGGCCTTTGTGTCGAGGACTCGCGCGTAAACCTCAAATTTGGCGGCTACGATGTGACCGAGACATTCATCAAGATGATGCTATATGACAACCTGCCCTACGAGGACATCAACTTGCGGCGGCGCTACGACTTTTTGCTGGCCGAGGAGCTCAAGATCAAGTACGCGACGCTGTCACAGGAGAACATCAAGGTTGTCGAGAATACATTCCACGTGCGCGCGCCCAACCAGCCGACCCAGAAGTACAGTTTTAAGCTGTACGACCAAGGTCTCCTGGCATCAATGGGCGTCTTCGACCCGACAATCTTTGACGGCAGCACCAAGCTTCGTGGACGGAGGAAGCTCATCGACCGATCTTACAACGCCTACGATGTCGAGTACCCCGACGACCCGACGTCGGCGGCCCAGTTCGCCGCCCTGGCCCACGTCAAGCCCACGATCGGGGCGGCCACGGCCAACGGGGTCTCGCAGGAGATGCCGACGCCGGGCAAGGAGAAGGCTCAGCCGTTCAACTACCTCAACCGCGGCGCCGACGCCAACGGGACGCCGCTGGGGTCCAACGCGCCATCGCCAGCCCCGGAGGGCGCCAGCACCCCCGTCCCCGCGCCCTTTGTCTTCACCGGCGGCAAGGATACCAACGGCACCAGCAGCCCGGCCCCGAACGGCAGGAGCGGCGGCACCCCCGCGCCGTCGTTTGGAGGCGGCGCGGCGGGCTTCGCCAACGGCGGGCCGGCGCAGCAGCAGCAGCAGCAGCAACAACAGCAGGCGCACCCGCCCGTCATGTTCATCGAGAACCTGGCGCGGACGCAAAAGGCGCTCGCGGTGGAGCGCGACTCGGTGCTGCCCGTGGTGCCGCTCGACATGGCCATCATGATGTCGATCCAGAACGCGGCCAAGGGCGAGGACAAGAAGCTGCGCGACCTGCTCGGCTCCATCATGGTCATCGGCGGCGGCGCAAAGGTGGCAAACTTCGCCCCCGTCCTCGAGGAGAAGCTCAAGGCCCGCCGTCCGGACCTGACGGACCGCATCCTCGTCAGCCGCAGCGCCCGCGACATGGACGAGCAGGTCGTCGTCTGGAAGGGCGCCAGCGTCTTTGCGAAGCTGCCCACCAACGACTCGTGGATAACGCCGCACGAGGTTGAGAGGCTAGACGCGAGGGTGTTGCACCACAAGGTGCTGTGGGCCTGGTGAGTGATGAGCCTTTCTATTTATTTTTATTTTTACCTTTTTCTATTTTCCCCTCGTCTCTATCGGAAAAGGGGGTGTATGTATGTATGTGGCTTGGAATTTGGGCGGATCGGGGGGGAGTGTGAGGCGCAGTGGGTTGATGATTTATTCGCTATTCACAATGTCGACAACGCGCACACAATCTTCACTTGGACGAGGCATGCAAAGTTATACCAACTGCGGAAAGGTCAGCGTCTCTTTTTATACTCGGTCTTCCTTCTGTCTGGCGTTCGTCTTGCGCACAAAGTGGTGCGAACTATACCGTTTTCTTTCTCGCAGACGACTTGTATAGAGTAATAGGCATACACTTCGTCCATCAGCTTGCATGTTTGGACCATGGAACATGTTGAAATCTACGCAAAGTATAAGGTTCTAGTCGCACGAGGGCGGCGCCTGGTAGCCCATGACCAAGAGCGTTTGTTTGTGTGCCAAGAATGTGTGTGCTCGACCGCAGTCGGAAATGAAATAACAATTCTCTCCAGAGAGAGAGAGAGAGAGAGAGAGAGAGAGAGAGAGAGAGACGACGGGACTAGTATAGTCTTC